GCTCTGCATATAGACCTTGTTTCAACGCAGATATAATTCTTACTTGGCAGTTTGGATTTTCCGAACAGACACTGAAGATCCAAAGCAAATACCAGAAAGATTTTCCATGCATATACAGCACAGCAAAGAGCTACACGGAACAGCACTGGCCCAAAACTGTCTTCCCTTCCCCAGAGTTCTATTAATTTGTTTAAATCGGAAAGGATCAGTCCTGGTACCATTGGATGTTTTAGTAATGCAACGTTGTAGTTTAGAATCTGAACAATGCTGCAGCCGAACTGAACACTTGAAAAAATCAAAGTTTGAACCTCGCGCTAGTGAATAGCCAATTAAGGGCAATTGTTCATACAAATTGCTGGGTTTTGTTTAAACTAAACTCCCGGGTACCGTAAATGGCCATAAGAATTCGATACATATCGTACACGGTCTCTTCCAGGGCGCAAATAATTGATCATCTGCGCTCAAACACCGGGAGAGAAAAGACGGGACGGAAATCCCTCTGCTCGCGTGCGAGCACGGGGAATACGTGACCACCTCTATAGAATCATCCAGTAGACTGGGAAGCAAGCCCAACTGCCGCTTAATATCAACATTTCCGCCGGCTGAGGACTTCATATTAACACTGGGGAGCGCTGCGGCTTGTTAATACCGGGCGTTCCAGCGAATCCCTGGCCGATCACAGTCGGTGATTGTTCTTAATTACTTATCTACTCCCCCTTTTCTGATATAGGTTTCATTGTTCGTCCATCTTGGTACTCCAGTGTAAGGTCTACAATGCTGTAAACTTTCAAAAGTGGAAGTAGGCTTTCAAACCCACGTATTCGAGCGTTACACAGGGGTTTGTATCCTAGACTACACGCTCTACCGAAGGCAGATTTGGAATGGATAATGTTCGTCTTTAACCGGCTTCTCCCTCAAGTCCCGCACGTTCTAGTGTTTGCCTGAACTTAATGAACTGAGCCGTTTATTGCCAGCACCGGCAGCTGAGTAACCCGCTGTTCCACATGATACGTGTCAGATCGCCCGCCCGAAGATCGCTGGGCAAAATGGAGCATGCAATGCGGGACGAGAATAGTTTGTTACTGCAATAGAAAGTATATTTGCTAACTGTCGTGATTTTTTTACAAGGCTCGTTAATTGCAAATGACGGATCAGCATTAAATGTGGATGTACATGTATAAGTTTTAATTGTCCAGTAATATCTGAAAAGACTTCCCAGATGGTGACAGTCAGCTGTCCGTCAATCAAACAACCTCAAGGAGTAGGGAGTCTGGCAAACTTATACAAACAGCTTTGGGTGAGGAATACTAAACGATAAGGGCTGGAAAGTTAACTTTTGCTTTGAGTTCTTTTTGTAATGAACTTCTTTAATTAAAAACATGCATCGGCAAAAAGGACTATTAAATCTTCAGCTAAAAATTCTGTCGCATAGAAATTCTCTGCTGCAAAAAGGTCAGTTGCAATTTTCTTCAAACATCTTCAGTTTAAAGGGTCCTCGTAATTAATTTTTTTGTACACACAGTTTTTTGCAACTTTATGCTCACCCTCTTAGACATCCCTTTGAAATTAAATGTGTTAAAATGTGCACATTTTTTAGCAATTAAAAGTGTCCGTTCTCATAAAAAAATCTCCAAAAAGTCGCTTGTTTACCTGTCATCATACATTTACACAGCAATCAATCACGATGAAAAGGAGTTTTAAACCATTAAAATATAAAAAATCACAGCATTTGTTTGTGCACACATTATTGTAGCAGTCAGGTTTTCAGGGATATCACACTTTTGCAAATGAATATAGAAATTTCCTTACCGTAAAACCAAAAAAGGCAGTTAAAACAGCACTTCAAATAGAAAACCAAATTTACTGGAAAAGATGTATTGCATATAGACCTTTGCTGCCACGGCATATGATCCAAAGTAAGACTTTCATTTGCAAAAAATTGATATTGCATCGTTATATACCTACATCACGCGTCTGGCTGGACATACACGGCAAAATTGCTCTTGCAGTCAACACTTCTTAGGGTTTCTGTCTTGTACCTCACGGTAGGAATTTGACATAATGTTAATCTATACTGACGATTGGATTTTGTGGAGGGTAGAATGAAACTGGAGGTTAGCATTGTTTTCTAAAATTGTACATTTTCAACAGGCTTATTTTGTCAACAGATATTTCAACATTTCCAAACAGAACAAAGCAAACAAAAGTGTCCAAGCCTCCTTTGAATATGGATAAAAAACATTTAACGGATGATCTATCTCAAGACGTAATAGACCATAAATTCCTCAGCAAGACTGTGCCTATTTTGGTGCACATGGAAGTATCCCGACCCCCAATTTGGAATCTCATTGTGGAGACGTTAACACAGGGTAACTCCTTGACCGTTTTTGTTGAAAAGCATTTAACGTTAACTCTACAATGATACCACACTTTGTACTGTACACTTTGGATACATCCATCTATAATTAGGATTACCTTTTAACAACTTAGTCCACTCAGCTGCTGACTGACTGATGACGGATGCGGTAGAATAACTGCAACAACACAACAAGCGGAAAAACTATTCTTATAATAAAGTGATATAAAATTCGGATCATATACAAGGAAATAAAATGTAAGACGGTTTACTAACTCACATAGAATCTGCTCATTTTAAATGCCTCTCGTAACTGTGATGGCGATCATCACTTGCAAACGCAATGCATTTTTGTGTCGACAATTACATCCATTATTAGACCCAACCCCAGAATACGGGGGTTGGGTCTATTACTAACTTTGACACTGAGATTGTCACTGAAAAAGTCGCTCGTGCTTCGTTTTACACCTTGTCGCCGCCAGAGTCCTAATTTTGGCCGTGTCCGAATCACTTGGCTACAGCTGGAAATTACACACGACTCCATGGAAACTGGTGTAATTTCAGGCCGTAGCCAAGTGATTCGGGTAAAGCTATAGTGCTACTATATGTATTTGTGTTTTCTTGCAAGTTTTCTGCAAGATGTTTTTACGTTTCATTGTTCACATGAAAAGCAAATAAATGTACTGTGCACATAAGATACCACCAGATGGAATAATGGGTATACAGCTTTACACACCTGTTTTACATACAAAGTGTGGACATTCCTTTGTTCTCCTGTGGTTAAGGAAACTCGAGGAAAATGCCCCTTTTTCTCCAACTAGGATAACTAGCCACGGATAACCCTGACCCCAAAATGCCTCTGAAACTGTTTTTCAGAGAAGGGAAAACATTGGGTGGAAGTGTGCGAGTCCACACAACGCCATTGCACCAACATTATGTGGTCTTCTTTTGTGCAGAAGTCCACACTATGTATGCCACGCCTGCACACATCTACACACACACAAACAACAAAACATCTACCGTCCGTCTCACGCTGCAGGTTGTGTTAGGCATGTCATTACGGGTGCGGTTTCTCTCATAGACATGTGGTTCAACCTACGCTGCAGCCCGGTAATTTTGTTGAATTAGGTTCAATTGCCTATCTTAGACGCAGGGCTAATTGAATCTTATCAAACAACGTCCGTCCGGGGTTTTCTTTTTTTCCTGTTCTCCCATTGCGGAAACTAGCTTTATTTCTCTCCCGATTGTGCAACCCATTTCCAATCAATCAAAGCAAGTTTAGTTTTCATAATTTGCTATTGCCCGGCATGCATTACTCCAGGAGAGAGGGGAAAGTGTGTCAATTTGGGTATAGTTGACATTACCGGTAAATCGCGGTCTCAACGATGCCAGTTTTTTAGTTTCTTTTTCAAACAAGTACATAGAGGTTGTCTTCGTGAAAATCATTCAATGTACAGTTCATAAGTTGCATGCCGTACTATTTTACACCATGTAAACTTAAACGTCGAATTTGCTTCTCTAAAGAAACTTTTTCGATTTGGTTCAACTGCAGCGGGAAATTGGTGCGGTGTTTATTACGAAACCAACCATTAATGGTGACAATACGACGGCTTTCACAGTCCACACACCTGTTCAAATAACAGCCGTTCGTTACCTTTTAATCACAATCATTGTAGGTCTGCCTAGGTAGGTGACAAGAATCTTAAATCCATAACAATAAGTTCAACAGTAATTATGGAAATGAAAACTTTCACCAAAGTGCCTTTGTGACAGTAAAACATTTGAACGTTTTAGATTTTCTTGCATTATATTGTTTGTCATAAGATGTGAATTTTGCTCGGTATAGCAGAAAAATCAACACCTTATTCCGGAAATGAGGCATCGGCATGAGCTGCTATAAAAATACGCACTGCTGCAGAGTGTAGCTGATATTTCGAACCCAAAATGTTAGTCTGGCTGTCCAGATTATCCAGAAAAAAATATGAAGGATTTAGTTGGATGGCATTGGCCCCACACTTGTAAAAACGGTGGAAAAGTTATTACTTCAACCCCCAAAAAGAGATATTCCTGCACTATAAAGCCACTTGCCGTCTGTGCTTTTGCAATATAATTATCTGTATAAAGTCACAGTCATTGCAAATGAAAACGAAAAAAAAATTACATTTATTCTTATTTTCAGTTATCCGGGTCATCTGTGCAAAAGCACACTGAAATTGCGTAAGATCTTGTGAACGCAGATTCCACGGCGATGATTCCAACTGATTTCCAATGGGTTATTCTGGTCATTTTGAAAGTGTTGGCTTCAGTTACAATACGTGATGCAAATATGACACGGCAGCTATTACCCTTGAATGTGAGATACGGTTAGTAATGATGGTTGACCGCTACAAGGGATCCTCAACAGCCTCGCACATTTAGCTGGGCCCAAGGAGCGTGCGCAATCAACTTGTACAGTCTGAGATGGTTGCGGGCGCTGTGGCTGTGAAAGGCCCGACGCCGGGCTAACAAAACGGCCACGTGTGGGCGGGGTTTCCTCAGCTTTGCCGTCAAGCCGTGCACAGAGCCTTTCTTGGGGCCACTGTTCGTCATCGAAAGATGAGAAGCAGCGATGTAGGAAATATGTCCATTATAACCTGGGCTGGGGTTTAGAGGTTCTCTTAACCGTATCTGTCACGTAAGCAAGTAAGGGGAGTGAGATTCCTATTGTTACATATGTACCTGCCTTGCTACTGCGAACAGAAACCAAGCTACTGCCAGTGCTGTTCATATCTGATCAAGTTTGATTTCCTGAGAGGCATATCAGTGTTTTCATAAAAAAGTTTCCAAACACTTGGGATCACGGCAGAAGGCAGCATTTTCCTAGACTCACATTAAATTCGACCTGTTTAGAAGCTGTTACTCTGTCTGTCACTAGACCAGTGAACAGATATTTTACACGGACGAGATCTTGGCGTGTAGGAAAAGTGGGACATCGCTCTTGGAAATAAATCAAATTCTGCATCGACTCGATTTTGATCCCCGGTGGTGGATTCCTCACAAAAACGGGTAAGATGTTTAAGTGACAGTGATACGTCGACATTTCTGTACGATGATGTGCAGAATAATTTTTTTATACAAAGTGAAAAAGATTGCTGCACGTAAATGTTCGATCTCATTCATTCAAGTTGATATCTACTCACGATAGATTTCATTCAATAATTTGCCAGTTTTTTATCGAGAGTTTTTCAGTTTTTAATTAGGGAATTTGTTCTCTATCTAGTATGGGCTCAAATTTTGCCAAAGAAAAACCCATACATGCAATATGGTTAGGAATTACATCTAACTTTCATTCTCTAGTCCCATATTCTTTTCTGAAGCTCTTTAATTGGTGGAAATGATTAACAAATGATGGTCAAACAAAAAAAAAAAGAAAAAAAAAAGCCGCTCCATGATTTACGCGATTTGGTGTGCATTGCTTCAGATCTTTCCCGCTACTACTTCGAGCAGCATTCCTCGTTTCAAGTTCTTTTTGCGAGTTGCTGTTAATATTATGCTTCACATTGGTGTTTAAGTATAGTCTTTACCGGTATACCTGGTACAATTTTCCTTTTTTTAAAGGGACAGCTTTCTATAAGTAATTGACAGTTACAACAAAACGTCAGCACTGATAATGATCTGTGCACAACGGAATTCTTTGGTGTGTCAAGTTAACATTTAATCCGGGTGTACAGATATCTTTATTTCTAGACGTGCCAAGTTAAATTTTATTCCCGGAATAGAGATATTTCTATTATTAATAGAGATATCTCTATTCCTAAAAAGATATCTCTATTTCTAATACAGATATCTCTATTTTGCGATAGAGATATCTCGATTAAGTTCCCGCTTCTGAGGTCAGCAGGTCGCCCTCGACGTTTTATGTTTAAAAGTCTAGTATCTTGAGGCTCAGTGAAACTTTGTACGTGACGTTACAATGACCTCTCCGTTGCCCAGTGTGCGGGACCGGAATAGAGATTAGGAATAGAGATGTCTGTATGAATAGAAATATTTGTATACGCGGATTAAATGTTAACTTTGTACGCCATAGGCCTCCAGACTATGACAATCATTGACACAAATAACATCATTATCAGCAAATCCGGTAGCAAAATGTAAACTGAACTAAAAGTTCATTGCAATTGCATCTTTTATTCGACCCGAAGACGTTAATGTGAGGCCAGATAGATTTCTCTATTGCGAACTTTTACTTGAGCTTTAGGCGTGCATTAACATGACAAGCATTATAGTTCACAGCGTATCGCTGATTCATTTCCACAGTTCAGATTTTCTGTCAGTTTGGAGCTTTATTAGGGACATTGTAAAACAAATCCTCAACTGAGATAACTCGTCTACTGGTGTTTGGGGTTGTATGTAAGAAATATATATCTTATGCACGAGTTAGCTGAAGGAGAAGAGAATTTTTTTACTATGTCCTTAACACAGCGTTGTATTACGATGCCACCGCCCGCTTTCCCCGTCTCTTTCTCGAGACGATCTACCTTTTCCCAACTCCCACAGTCCTTACTCCCGCAGTCTCGAAACAGAACCTGCCTATTCTCCGACGAGTTCCCAATAACACCCAGGCTGAATAACACCCGAGCTGATTGATGACAATGTACACAAGTGCGGTGTACTCAGTCACCAGCCGAGCAAAGAGCCGTTTTTAACTGGCTACTCCAGGGAGAGCGCAGCGAGCAGACCGCGCTTGATTTGATGGGCAGCGTTGACTCCTTGCAGGGAGCCGGCTTACCTTGCAATCAGCCGTTCACAACGTCAGTGTCGGTGGAAATGGGCTGGGGTCTTATTTCTGGACTGGCTGGATATATTGGTAGATTATTTTGTTGAGTCATTTTAATAGATTATGTTGTCATCATGAGTTAAAGAAATAAAGGATTTTAGAAAATGATACGTTTAAGTGTCAGTGTGGTGGTTTTTAAGAATCTTTATGCTATGGGTATTAGGTTTTTAATGTTTGATCCATACAACCAATTTTCAGGTGTATCAAAAATTTCACAAGTAATTTGCGATGGTGGACAAGGGGAAATGTACAAAAAAAATATCGAAGTGGCTCGTCTGCCATAATCTTCAGCACTTGCGTCCAAAGAAACTTTTGGCCAGCTTTTTCAAAACGTCATACTAAATATCTCTGCATCTAGATTTTCAAAACAGAGTACCCCAGATCTGAATTTTACATCTTTACAATTTTCATATAACTGATTAAATGTTCGAACTCTTTAACTTGTGCTATTTTTAGCTTGGATTTTTACTGTCCAAATAAGAATAGGCCAAGGAGTGGCATCCACATTTCAATTTAATATTTAATCAAAATTATAACTGGTTGGCCGGAAACAAAAAAAAGGAAAAATAACGGATCAATTTTTAAAATAAAATTTTACCCCCCGTTTTTAAATCTTACAAAATATAATAACCTAGACCTTGGTTTCTAAGCTTTTTCCTGGGTTTACAATTTACATAAGTATACAAAAAATAGAGGTCTGCTACTTCTCCAGAGTTATTCTTGAAATTTACAACTACACTTGGCGGTATGCAAATAATGGAACTTAACTCTCCAGTTTAGCTCATCTTAGTGGGATAAAATTTGTGCGGCATTGAAACAAAATTCAATAACTATACAAGCAAACAACACGATTGCTAGGTTAAGTTGTTAATTTGTCGTAGCTTAATTTGATGGACTTGTCCTTCAGAAATACAAAGGGGTTGAAAACTTTCATGCCCGTCTTGAAATATTTGTCAAACACAGCTCAAAAGAAAATGTTTTGATATATGCACTTTTCAGACTCAACTGGCTGACTATGTGCCAAAGCAATGGAGAATTTTTCTTTTAACTATTTAGGATTTCCTTTTACATAAACACACATCTTTAAATCCGATATCTGTCCTTATGAAAGCCAAAACAACTTGTAGAATTCTCCACGTTTGTGCTTGGGGAGTCCGAAAGGAAAGAGCGAAATTGCTTGGCCCGAGTATACGTGACCGAAGCACGGTTCGTGGGGGTAGTGCTGGTCGAGTTGCCGATCGGTTGCGGTTTAATCACAATTTACCCGCTGTCTGTTTTCTATTCTGATGGAAGAGTGTGCGCGTGGCGCGTTGAAGAAACGCTACAGCACGGACGTGTCTTATTCGCGTCCAATGACTCATAGAATCATCTTCTTGTAGAGGTGGATGGATTCTGCCGTCTCAGTACATCCGACGGATTATTGGGGACTCTTCTAGAGTCCACTGGACCTATTAATCAGTAGTCAAAGGCCTTGACTTCTGCGGTCCTATATACAAAAGGTGGGGGATTGTGAAATAAAGGAAGACGAAAAAACGGGTGGGAAAAAAGAAGATATTCACTGGTCGTAATTTGAAGGGTTATGGTGGTCGGCACGAACATTACTTGCAATGTGCAATCATTAGTATAAACCTTAGTGTCATGTTGGGTTATAATGTAGGCCTACCTTGTGTTGAAACACACGAATCTAATTGATGTTAAAGGTCCCCTGATTCTCATGATGACATACTGGACACGTATATTTGGACTCCGAGGGCTGACAGTGGTTGTTAGTTTATTCGTAGTAAATTTAAATTTTCTTTCGCAGCATGCCTGATGTATTCTGAAACGAGCAATGCTTATGTGAATGTTATCGTACGTTTAACTGAGCTCTTCACTGAGGTTAATTACTAAAACAGCTATTTTTAGCGAGACAAACACCGTACTGTTTTTGAAATCTCCACTCTCTGGAATACAGATGTACCGTTTTTGTTAAATTACAACGGTAAAACAAATGAACTCATACATGTTTACTGGGAGTCAATGAGTTGAAAGAAATAGGAGGCCTTCTGTTTTTCAAACTTAGCCCATGGTGCGACGAGGTTAGCCAGTCGCAAGTTCCACACTCCTCAATACAGTTGAATATTGCAACCAAGCCAAAATCTTGCTATCCAATGAGTTTTCTTTCCCGCCTCTACAAACTACTTCGTGCCTGAACAAAAACTCAAAGGGAAGCTTTTCCATGTACTTCTGCCTTTAATTTCCTTGATTACTTCTCCGTCGGTCCGAATATAATGTCCAGACATCTCTCAGTAATGTTTCTTTTTTTCTCCTGACTGCTCGGTAAGATTCGATTTATATCGTTGCCGCTTAGTAAAACTGCGTGGCTGATTCATTCGGACTTGGATTTGGAAACTATCTTCGCAGCCGCCAGAGTTAAATTTCATATTCCAATCAGCGGGGATGCAGAATTGAATTACATATCTCTTTGATTTTGAAAATGATTGGACAAACCGGCGTATAGTATCAGCGTGGCCTTTCAGAGAGGTGGAGGTGAAATAGCGGCCGTACGGATCGCAAAATTGAAACAGTCTTGCCGTGTCGTTCAGTATTTCCAGCACAAAGCAATAATTTGGCAAATAACTTTCAATGGTGCACAAGATTTGGTGGGAAACATAAATACAATTTCTCCCCGAGCTCCGAATTTATGATTACTTTTTTGTTTAGTGATTATACTCTAGGCTGCGCTTCGTATTGTGTGGTGTGACTTAAACTAATTTCGACTTCTGTTTGAGCAACCCTCACAAAGGTGGTTTTGCTTCTTTGCCAAATATCTGGAGAACAATGGCCTTAGTGGCGTGAGAGGTAAAATTCTTGTAATTTGTATGATCAAAGTGACTTTGCTGAAGCGCTTGGGCACATCGTTGTTGTAACTTGTATATATCATCAATTTTTTGGAGTCACTGGCAAAAATTAATTTAGAGGCATATCGAGTTTCTGCATCAGAATAATAATCGAAATCCCACGCACTGAAACAATCCGTTCCTAATTCAATTTTAATCATTCACTTTATAAACTAAAAATAAGGGCTACCTGAGATGTACAAGTGTATCAGTCTATCTAAGACACTTGATCAAGAATTCATGAATTGTGTGTTAGATCCCCAAAGGGTATACTTCCCGTTCGTCTGTTTTTAATTTACTGACCCACCTCTGGTCTAAAAGTTACTTATACGGCCAACAGACTGTGAATAGGACAACATTTAGAAGGCAAATTTTAATTGTTAGTTGTACATAATTTTGGCCAAATTTGCTGCAGCCTTGGAAATTTTAATATGCATTTACCATGACGCAAATGTATTGTTTATCATTTGATAAACACTACCATTGAAAAAAAAGTGAAGCGGTAATATTGTATACAGGGAGAGATGGCACGACAATTTGTACAAAAAGAGTCAGAAGTAAAAATTGTATAACACACTTTGTTAATTAATTAAGCCAGCATTCATTTATGTCATCCATTTCACGTGTGCGTATGAAACGCTATTTTTTTAATCCGACCCTTCCGCTTCCCGAAACCGCAAACAAAAACGATCCACGGCCGATCGACTTTTGTCCCAAGTTTATAAAGCGTGCACACCGTCGATACCGACGTAACACATATGAAAACGACGAAACAGGGGATGACCAAAACGCAGTTCGTGGAAACGAGATAACGAGACTGAATTATGACCCCGGCCTTAATATTGCAGAAAGAGAAGACCAAACTGCTGATAATTCACATTTACGTTTCTTTCCCATTTAATGTAGTACAGGATGCAACCCAACGGGGGATCTTACAGCCCTGCTAGTCTAGGCACGATGGGGGCTATGTACTATCTACACCAACACGCACAGCAGATGTACCCAAATCATCCACCCTCCGTGCCTGCCCTGACCTTAGCAGAACGACTGGCCGGTATTTACTTTTTTTCTCGTTTTAAGCATGTGTTCATTCTAACCACTGCATGTTTGTTAACATGGCCATGTTCACTACATCAATTCAGCTGAGCTTACCATGATACTTGTTTCATGTTCACATTGATATCAACCCGACGAAGAAACGACAATATTGATGAAAAAAATCAACAAAATGGCAGCCGTTTCAAACAATGCAACTTACTAAATGTACATAGGTAGCCGAATGTATAAGAAAAATCTTAATGTAAAAGGGATGGGCAAAAGGAGTTTTTGAAACAACGTACACACTTTCATGCATAGACACAAGTTATGGATCTCCACGGTAAACTAATCCCATATCACATGTATACACGCATTCAAATCGTAGACTTCGAACATCATAAGGGAAAACAGCGCGATAGGGTCCACCCCGGGAAACTGTACAAATCCTGTGGGTTAAAGTGGAACTCATGGGCTTAAATCCCGGGAGGTGGGGATATATATATACGTTTGAGTGGTTTTAAAATCAGCAGACAGTTTAACTGAGAACAACATTAAATGTGAGTAAAAATAATTATTTGTGACTTAATAATGCATCACTGAAATTATTGAAAAGAAGGAAAGTGTGACAACCTGTCTTTTTGCTAGCCATTGTGAGTTAGTAAGCCATTGTAGCGCACATTCAAAACGTTCCACACCGGGATTGAGGTCTTTTGGCAAGGAAGAGGCCAGAAGAGAATATTATATTAATTCGTCGAATGAAGCTTTTTTATGTTTCGATCTTCGGGTTTGCCTTTTTCCACAACATAATCTCAAACACCGACCTTAACAGCGACAAAAAATAACCTCTAGCTTGAATTTATTGTCTGTCGAATCAAAGCAGAAATAATGAAGACTGCTACATTGGAAAAATAATACATTATTGATTTTAATTCATTGCTGTTCCTGTTCAGATCAGCTTTTCATTTCTTTTCAAGGTGCCGGTTTCAAGATCATCAAAATTAAATCGCTCACCAAGTAGCCATCGAGCTTGCAATCAAACCACTCTACTGTGCTTTTGTCTTTATAATGGTTGTAATATTGAAAGCAGGATAATTGGTCGGCTCTCAGGATAAACAACGCCATGTCAGACATTGGCCCCCGGTCTCTTTTATTTTCCAATTTCAGTCTCTAATCTCTGTTTTATTATTATAATTATATTAAAAATCCCGTCAAACCAATTAAACTATATCTTCTTTTTGTGACAAAGTACTGTCAAAAGGAGGGGGAAATTAGTTAAAACCGGCGCCGGTGCGAACGGCGGCCGTGCACGATGCACGGCCCACCCGATCGTGGCTTAAACCGATCCCTAGTATATTAAAAACCAAAAATTAGATACGAACTTTATTTATTTTATGCCATAAGAGTATTGTTCATGACGTTACGTTTGTCATCCAAGCACAAGATTGCGGAGCACAAGGGGTAGAAAAGACGGGAGAGTGGTTAGATGGAGACTATTGTGTTGTATCTTGAGTGGAAGAAGGAAGAGATACCACGGGTAGCCCGGTCGAATTCAAAGGACGTGCGTGCAGTGTCATTGTGGCCACCAGTGATCATTCGGTTGTTGAAACAGAGTGCATTCGAGATTTAACTGTTGGACGATGCAAATGATCAACCGAGTGTTGCTGCAAATCATGAAAATGTATTGTGAGGAATCACCCACTCGGCTGCCTTGTTCACGTTTTATGTAACACATGTGATTTCAATCCTGTTATCATCGGAACGGACAGGATGATGAAACTAAGTTACAGTTGAGTCTGGTTCCTCTCTACTGTACACTATTTGTAATGTACCGACTGGCCGGCTTGTACAAGTGAGCGAAATGGGACTCTATTTCGATGTTGACCTTTACAACTTGGCTGTCATTTGGAGACAGTGTACCCTGTACAATATAAGAACGACCCTTTCTCAACCGTATACCAGTCTTCCAAAGTTCACAAGTTACAAGAAAACGAAGGCGCTACCAATGTCAACAAAATGTGACATGTGACTTTTTACCGAGCTTGAAGCTTCTTAGAATCAGTGAGTCGAAACCAGTCGGATCGACGAACGGAGTTGAAGCCGAAATTTGGAAAAATCTCACTTGTCCGTGATTCAGGTTGCACGAAAATTAATTGTACATGGATCCTCGCATATCACACATCTGTTTACTCTTGAGCTCATGCAGAATGGAGTTCTACTACATTTTTGTCCACCTCATGTGCTTGGAAAGAAATGTTTGAAGCTTATTACTTTGTACTCCCAAAATCCCTCTTACAGAAGGTAACAACTCTGATAATTTGAGAGGGTTTTTCCTGAAGAAAAAAAGTGAAAAATCTGCATAGCCTGAAAGAAAGTGACTGAAATATGTTCCCCTGTTCATTTTCAATTTTCCGCAATGTTCACGGAAATTGCTAGTGCAGTCTGGTATGCGCATGCGTGCATAAATTTGAATTTATTTGTAAACTGGTCTATTGATGAACTGCACATGTTAACTAAGCAGCCACGTCAATTAGTCGGTGGTCTTTCAGCTTTTTGTCGCAAATTATGTATATCCCAAATTCAAATTGAGTGATGTGTAAAAAGCAAAAGAATTGGTTCCTCAAAAGACTGAATCTTTGAAAGACCTGCGAAAACCAGGTGTCAAATTGATCATCCACCTACAAATCAAATTCTGGCCACGGGGACCCGCCGCGCGCTGGATCGATCTCGGCAAGATAGAGCATCTCAAGCCCGAGGCAAACGTTTAAGCGGCTGTTTTGTGATCCAGGAATAAGTTATAAAAGTGCAGCTCCTGGATTGGGATGTATCCAATTTGTTGCAGTCAGACGCATGCAGTCAGTGGAAAAATAATTTGCAATTTCATTTGGTTCTTGTTATTGTAAAAGGCCTCTCTGCAAAATATCAAATGTCGTGTTTCAAGTTAATGTGGATGAACATATTCAACATGTGATAATAGCATTTTCAGTTTAAATTTAAAGAGAAACACAGAATAGTAAGAAAAACCATTATAACAATGATAAAAGCACACTAAAAGCCTTCATTCGTGATACGCAGAAAGCAATCCAAGCTTTTAATGTAAAGGCATTGGTCTTGCTGTGATAATAATCTGAATAGAAATCACTTCAATGATGAGTAGAGTGGCACAAGTAAAAGTTATTACTTGCTGGTTCGATAGGCCTACTGCATTGGTACTGAATCTGTCCCGGAAAAGTATGTCAACCTGGATCACCTTTCTACCGCAAAATTGATTTTAAAAGGAGCAGGACAGGGAAGCCAAGATTATCAGTCAGTCAAGGTTACATCAGTCACACGTTACATGAGTACATCGGTCAAGATTACACAAGCAAACCTGTCATTTATGCTCAAAGATATTTTCATCTGTTGACAAAGGCGGGTGGATACCGCAATCTTGGACAAAATTCCTAAAAATAGAAACGAAACTAAAATATTGCTGGCTATGATCAATGCCATTTCAGGAAAGCCGGAGGGGACATCATTTCCTGACGACTGAGGCAAAATACTTTTTCTCAGCCTGATATAATTATCATCTCTAATTCTTTTGACAATGTGATCCACAAGCGTTGGATCCTTCTTCGCTAATAAGATTCCTCACTCCGACTTTCCTTTTTTTTAAAAAGTTTTTGTATCTCAATGCCTCCTCCTCTTCGTCACTCTAACTAACATCATTGAAATCTTTGCAATGAGACAGAAATAAAGACCGGAAGCAGCCACAGTTTAGCGGCATGTGCGCTATTGTGGCTAAAGTTGCTTTGACCTCTTGAACTTCTTGCTTGAACTTCGTACCCATATGCCCAATCTCCTCCTTGTTGCATGATCTATTCCTCTCGATATCAAAGTCGCTGGCTTCAAACCGGTGACAGTACTTCATTAACAGACTTAACTCCTTACTTTTCTATAAAATTGTTAGGTCTTGCATTGATTCTGTTTCTCTGATGGGCGCGACTGATGCAGAGCGTAGGTCTCTAGGGTCTTTTCCTTATTCCCAGCTAACCATCCACTCAAATTCAAACCTCATATTCAGCAAAAACAACCATACCCCGAACCTCAACCATTCTCCTATTGAAAAAAGTGTTAAACCTATCGCTGGCGTGGGTCTTGCTTACTGAATTTCTGAATCTTTCATCGAAATTTAGATCAAATTTCTTTCATTACGAAATCATTTCTTGCAACTTTGGGGTCATGTCTAAGCTTAAGATTCCCCCAGTATCTCTACGAACCCTTCTCTACTACAATGCCCTCGTCTTACATCACTTTATTCATTGCAATATTGTTTAGGCTCGTGCTAGTGCCATCAAACTGCATTCTTTATTCGTTACCTTCAAATAGCCGTTCAAGTCTGTAACTTTTCCCATCCCAGAGATCACTCTTTGCTCGTATTGAACACCGGTTATGATTCATAAGTGGTAGTAGAGATATTACTCGTACGTGCAAGTTAGCTCAAGGAGGGGAGAATTTGTTTCAATCTGCCTCTAATACGGCTTCTTAGAACGACGTACAAGAGATGCCCTTGTCCCTGTACTATGGAACGTAGATTCCCATTCAATAAATACCCACTACTGCATGAAATTTACGAGTCTGTTTTTCAGAACCATTGTTTATTTTAAGGAAAACAAATTGTCATGCAAGGTACATTTTTAATTTCTTTTGCGTAGGGCAATTTTTTTTCAAGTTTCTTTCTAAGATACATTTCCCAGGTTCGTTTTTTGCAGATTTTTCAAATTTTGTTTTTTCAAGGTTTTTTTTTCGAAAAATTCATAAGCCCACCAGTGCCATGAAGTATACATGTTAAAAAGTGAAGTATAAGTTTTCGAAGTTCGCTTTCATGAGATATATTTTTCCAAAGTTTTTGCTAGATAAATTTCTTCAAACTTGTTGATAACGAGATGCACAGCCATATCTTATCAATACTATTTGTACAGCTATGCTCCAAAGAGAACTCGGTCTCTTTTACTTGAATGTAGGTCTTAGGTATGACCAAACCACAGCTTCAACATTGTCAAATCGCAGTATCATCACCATTAACATCAACTGAATCGTCAACTTCAGGGGATCAGACTATTTTGCCAAAACGAACTTTAAAAAAAAACCTCACTTTTCAAAAATATATAATACATCGCACTTGTAGACTTTTATATTATCCCAATATTTTTATGTATCTTCATTTTGCCACAAGTATAGTCCCTCCGTTTCTGTTCTCTTTTTGTAGGTTTTTGTTGCCTCATTTGGTTTCTTTCTTTAACTTATATTACAATTATAGGTGTTATTATTTTGTCCTAGTCTATCATTGTTTTCTGATACATCAATCTTTTCTTTAGTGTAATCTTTCAATCCTTTGTGTTTGCCCTCTCGTTTCTAGTGTTCGTTCTTGGCAAGCCTCTGCTTACCCAAACAGCCCAATACTCCTTTTTAATATCCCTTTATTAACAATTGTTGTGCATATGTGCTTGTTATTTTCATTTTTAATTAAAGGTAGGTTTTTTAGCTCTTCCTTACTATGGCGATTTGTATTTTGATGGAAGAATGGAAACAAATGTGATATTTAATTGAAAATTGGATGGAATTGAATAAGTCAAAAACACGTGTAGAGACTGCGTTTAAAATCCTCAGTAGTGCCTTCGACGTTTGCTCAAGGTTGCGAAATAGCCCTTGTAAACTGTTGGGACAAGGAGCATATGTTTTTTGGAGAGAATTTTTGTCACACAGGAGATAACCATTCGACATAGTTTATGCTTTTACTGTTAATGGGTATCATAGCATATTACTCTACTTGGTTATCTGCGGTGCTTCTCATTGCAAGTTTAACGGGACCTTAGCTGTTATAGGGTACCGGTAACTTCGCAAGGCAGACGTACTTATTAAACATCGCCAAAAGGATGTGAATACATTTCTGTATCTCGAAATATAGCATCGGATATCACCTCTTTTAAGTAATTTGCCCAGTTATTGTTTTCTTTCAGATTTTATATTGGAAGCCCGATATGGTACCCACAGAAAGCAACGGCGCAGCCGCACTGCGTTCACCAACCAACAGTTAGCCGCGCTGGAGAAAACATTTGCTAAGACACATTACCCGGATGTAGTGATGAGAGAGAGACTTGCGATGTGCACCAACTTGCCTGAGGCGAGAATACAGGTATGAATTCAAAATCTGATTCTTTTCTCTCTCCCTTTCCCTCCCCCTCTCCCTGCCTCTCTTTTCACACACACACACAAAACAGGTTAGAATACATGTTAACCACATCTTTTTAAACACGACTCGTCCAAAGGAATAATAATGATTTCTTCTCAATATAGCGTTTTACAATAAATCTCGAAACTTTCCCCCAAATTCAAAAGCAAAAGCTGGAGTCAAAAGCAGCAGATAAATCAAACAGAAATAGTATAAGTGCACGTTGTTTATCGGAGACATACGCAACATCTTTATGTACTCTAAAAAGGGCAGTTTCATAGGCAGACTGAAATTTACCATACAAAGCATCTGCCCGAAAAAAATGTTTAAAGTTGAGGCAATATCTTTCAAATATGTCGAGGTTATGATTTGACGCGTCCTCGGAGGTCAAAAGCCTTGCATCACTGGGATAGGCTCGAGTAAACCTTTTGTGCATTCGTTGTAACTAATTCAAAACAACAAAAAACAGCTTCAATTGCATACAAACATCATGAACAATGCCAGAATCAAATGAAACATTCACAGTACGTACTTAATCAGGAGCTTTAATGTCAGGATAACCTGTGACTAATTTGTTATTGGGCATTGGGTCTGTTGAACAAATTTTGTACGCATGGTTTCCACCAATTGTTAGATAATTATCATCAGTTTTCAAAGGGCAAAAAAAACCCCGAAAAAACCAACCAACCAACCAACCAACCAACCAACCAACCAACCAACCAACCAACCAACCAACCAACCAACCAACCAACCAACCAACCGACAAACAAAC